TCCCCGTGCTCTCCCTTCACTCCCGTGTTGTGTCTTCTTCCCAGCTTCTGTCAGGGACCTGGGTCTGGGCACGTCTTCCACTTTCTTTCCACACTTGCAGTCTATGACATTCGTCTTGCTCTCTTCTGCTTGAATGTGCCAAAGATCTGAAAATGTCCTATAAAGGGATGCCCCTTTAATACCTTTGTATAAATTTACTCCTAAACGAATCACCAAATGAGTGGACGCTGAGTGGTTAAGCCATTACTTTGAAATCATTAGTTATTCTGGAAAGGACCTGATAAAAACGTCTTTGCATACTGTGAAATTGACTACAGAGATTAAGTATAGGCTGTAAGGCAAGTATCACTTAACTATATTTATAGGCACCATAATTTTTAAAAGAGCATCCTGTAGTAGACCAGTCCTTCATTAAGGAGGCCAGCAGAGCGTTACCTCACGCGACTTTGCTATTACAGTATACTAAAGAGCTCATTCAGCAGAGCAAGACAAGTGCTTCCTCAGAAAAACCACATCCTTCCTTTATAGTTAGCAACAAAAAAGCATCTTCATCTCTTCACTCTTCCTCCTCCCTCTCACCCAGTCTTCCTCTGTGTCACACATAAAGTGTCACTTACACTAACCCGTTTGGCATACATAGGTCTTTGCAGAAATGCACATGCAAATAGACTGTTGATTCCCCCACACAGTCTTTTAGTCCAGCTGTGAGGACTGACTGGCCCATCTCTGACTCAGCATGCAGATTTTGTCAACTAAAAAGTGGCGTTGTTTATCTGTTTACTTCATAACAAAAGAGTCAACATGTTCCTGGCAAAAGAACTTTTGAAGTTCTGTTCAGAGTATCAACTCTTACGGTCAAGCATCAATACTGATACTGAAACCTCAAGATAAGCATGACCAGTTTTGCTGTAACCAGTTCATGATCAGCCATGGTCTTGTTGCACAGTCATCTCTCATCCAGTCATCTCTGTATTCTGTTTGAGTGTTGCTACTCAGCTATAGTCACACTTGTCACTTGAGGCTGCCCCTATTTCCTTAAACCTATTCCCCGTTTCACTGTTGAAAGGAGGTCACGTGTTGTGGCTTGGTTTCTGTGAAAACTGAGGTCAAGTATAGTAATTATTGCTGGCTGGCAGCTATCGACACACTAATGGCATTTTGTCGGTTTTTGCTGATTAATGTTCTCACACCTACGCTACCAGTTACACCAATAATAAAGCAATTAACTAGAAACATATCATTCTTATCATTTACAGCACGATTTTACCCCCGTCTGGAAAATATACCTTTTGTTTTAATTCAGAAAAAATACACTCAACCTTCAGATAACAAACTGAAGTGTGCATGAAACTAACAAAAGACAGTCTAAGACTTCATACAAGGATAACAATGAAGTCTACACCATGAACAAATGAGCTGGTGGATCCAGATGAATGTCTGGATCCGGATCGTTTTTTTAATATTGTGATTATATTGAGAGTCTATCTTAAACATGATGCCTCACTTTTTTTTTTGTTATCCCACTTCAGAAGTGTGTGTGAAGCTGTGATGTGAAATGCCCAATTTTGTCCTATATCAAAATGTCAGCCTTTAAAAAAAAACTCAGCTAGTTTGCCCAGTGTGTAAGTTTTTTGGACTTTCTATTATAGGTTTGTTTAATGTTTTATATCATTTCTTGTTTTTTTTACTCTTAGTAAATTTAGCCCCATTCTTGGTTCCTAGTTGCCTTCCTGTGTTCCCTTTCTGCTATGTCAAGTCTTGTGCATTAAATTCATTCACGTGTATGTCTTCCCTATTTAATTATCACATTTCCCATTTTACTTTGAGAGTTAGAATTCCTTGTGCGTTGCCTTTATTTTTGCTTCTTGTACCTTGTTTTCTGTCTGATTTAGTTCACCTGTGTCTTATCTCCACTTTCCCTAATTACCCTTCTGTGTATATTGTCTGTGTATGTTTCTGTTCTCCTTCCCAGTGGTCCCGACCTCTCGTGTTTGAAGGCCTTAGTGTGCTTTCAAGTCTTAAGTTTCAGTAGTTATAGTTTTCAGTTTCCTTTGTCCCTCATGATTCACATTTGTACAACCTTGACATCAGTCTGCAGTAAAAAGCTCGCTTTTTGTCCGCCTCAGTCTGCCTGTCATTTGGGTCCTCACACCCAAGCCCCCGTGACAGTCCTGGCTCTAAATCTGACTCCAAAACTTAAAATTGTAAGTTCACCCATGCTCCGCTTTTGGTAACATTTTTATATTAATCAGTCCTTACCTTACACACACACACACACACACACACACACACAGCCAATTCATGCCTTAGCATGTTACACGTCACACCATTTAAAGAAACACGCATATTATCCTTTAATTGCTCCAATGTGTAGTATGAGTTGATAAAGAATAACATAACTGTTTCTTAACTTCCACGTTATTCTACAGAAACATTTTGGGGGGTTTTGTCAGCCAAATGTTTATATTTGATATGATAAAATATTTTTTAATGAGCACTTTGGGACCTATGCATGCAATTGCAAATGTTTTCGATCCTCATAACATTACACGCCTTCTCATTATCATAAAGTAATTTCTTGGAATGACATTTCTCTCATTAACACCTTTCTATAAGAGTAAAAAGATACCTATGAGGTAAACGATGCCTTACATTAAACGACTTCATCATCCTGTGCTAAGAAGAGGCGAGAGAGAGCGAGAGTGGCAGAGGTGAAAGAGAAAACGAGAGAATAAAAAGCATCAGAGTGCTCGCAGCAAAGGCAGATTTTGGAGGAAACGAGAGAGATAGGATGATGGAAAAATGTGGAGGCTGACGGGGGGTATGTTGCTGTGCACAGCCAAGGTGGTCTCCAAAAAGACAGGAGAGAGAGAGAGTGGGACAAGGATGTTGACTGTTAATATGTAAGGTTTTCAGGATGAGTCATCTCTGACATTTTATGAATAGTCCCTTGACACACTTCTCGTCCCCTGCTCAGTCTCAGGCTCAGAGGGTCCCAAGTGACATCTTGCTAAAACTTCTCCTCCAGAGTAAGTAAAGATTTTCACAGCATGTATTTTCAGCTATAACTTTATCATTTTGAATCTTTTAGTAGAGCCTTGTAACCTGTTTGCATTAGGATGTAAAGCTGGTCTCTCTTAGTGTTGTATTTTGTATGTGTTTTATCATCAGTGTGTTACATGCTTTTTTAGAGTTTAAAATGTGTGTCCTAACATATTTAGGCAGCATGACTACCGAATTCTTTTTCTCAGAATGGAAGATGTTATCATATTTATCATCTTTAATCTTTAGCGTGTTTCACTGATCGTCTGCTGGGATTGTTATTTGAATACATGTGACAGAATCATGATAGTAATACTTTTCCTCCTGTCTCTGCTTACTCCCCTCCTTTTCCTCCTCCTCCTCCTCCTCCTCCTCCTCCTCTTCTTTTCTTGTGTGTTTCTTCCCAGATGCGGCCACTCTGTTTTATTTTACCATTACTGTGCTTCCTACCTTTGCTGTCTTCTAACCCTATAAAGCCCACTTGCAGTCCAACACAGTACAACTGGCCACATATATCACCTACGTTTTGTTGTGAAAAGTGCCCTGCAGGTACAGTAACTTCCTCACATCCCATTAGAGCTCATGGCTGTGATGACAACAGTAGTGCTTTAACTGCAAACTGATGTTTCATATATTCCAGGTGAGTTTATGGCCAGACGGTCACAGATAAACTGTGACCATAAATGTCAACCCTGTGAACGTGGGAAATACACAGCCGGCTACAACACGGCGATGAACTGTGAATTTTGTGACAGCTGCAGCAAACGTGAGTAACTTCACATCTTTAGCTCTGGGCGTGGAGGCGCTACAGTACATGTGAGGATTTGAAATGTGTGAAAACTTTAAGGCAATTTTTAGACTGACAGCACAAAGAGCTTTAGTGGCAGGAATGATGACGTAGTGGGTTTTACAACTTACACGTTTTTCTACAGACACATTGATTCGAGCTCTTGTACACAGATATTCCCGCTACAGCGTACCTGTTATCCTTTAAGCAGATAGAAGAATGACAAAGCATTACAGTAAAAATACTACTCAGGACCCCCCCTCCCCTTGTTATAGTGAAACATGTGGTTGCTTATACATTTTGTGTTAGTGTGTGAGCTCTATCATGCTCTCTCTTGATGTGAGATGTGTGAGTGAGTCATTAACTCTCTGTCGACCTGACCACTGCATTTGACCAATGACTCCACAGAATCTTGACAAAGTCAGACTGCTAGCTGTTTCTCAACTCATGATTTCAGAGAAGTTTGCATATACAAAACTTACACAAGGGGATTTCCCATTTCATGTATCAACGGGGGGGATACAGTCAGAAGGAGATGAAAGACAGGAGGGGAAGAGAAGGGGGTCTGTGAAACCAACTGTGAGCCAGCACTGGGGTTTAATATGATGAGATTCTGCAGCAGAAGTTTGTGTTTACACAGTAATCTCGACATGGTCTGCGGCACAGCCCACCGAGACAGGAGGAGGCTGAAAAAGCAGACCATCTTCATGTCAGTGGAAAAAAGAGCAAAATACCAAAAAAGCAGCAAACAGCGGAAAGAGCAGAAATGTCATGTCCTATGTTATTATTACTCAGGGCTTTGCGCTGGTACAGGTGAACAAAACAGCATGTCGTGCCTTTTTTAAATGTCACTGTGGAAAACAGACAAGAGAAAACACAGAACTGAGACAAATTTGAGTTTCTCGGTCTCAATTTTGGCTACATGTGCATTTTAGCTGAATTTGACTTTTTTGTGTGTCAACCAAGAAGCCTTTTTCACACATATCATAACCAAAGGGCTCACATACCTTTTTCCAAATTACAAACCAGATACATATAGACATTTAACATCGACCAAACATCTACTTATTGTTTATACACCTGCACATTAGAAAAACTGTTTACATTTCTTCAGCAGAGGAAGGTGGGCGTTCAAAGCACAAGAAGGGGCTTTATACCAATTAACGGCTATGGAAATAATTCAGCCCACTCAAAAACTTTGCATAGCAGAGCAGTGATATAAAAATTGCTTCTGTGTTGTTGGTGCCAATGATCTGTTCGGTGATGATGATAAGAGTTTGGATGTGTGGACCTCTGAGGGCTTCATGGAACAAAATGCTTGGTTACCTGTTCTCTTCTGTTTACTACTCTGTATGTTTATGCTGCTTACTGCTCTCACTGCATTTTAATTCATTATTATAAGACAGCAGAGTAAAACAGTGCTGAGCACACATGTAAGAGTCGCTGCCAGCTTTAAAGTGTCCACATTCCTCGTGTTGTGACCTCAGCTGCTCATTTTATAGTAATCTGTCTGGAAAAAGTGAAAATATTTTTATTCTGCTTGTGGACCGCTGTTGATTGGTGAGCTTTTACGACTCTGCATGTTGTGCTACGTCCCTCTGTGACCCTAAATGCCACAAAATGATCTCTGTTTACGATTTTCACTTTGTGTGTTTGGTTTTGGGATGACTGTGACTCTTTGGAAGTCATATAAGTAGTTCGCTGATTGCTAATATGTGACATCAGATTGAGGTGTGCACACTAAAGCATCATTTAAGAAAGACCTTGTTTCATCAAACTGAAATTCTCTAAAGAAGAAGCACCAGACGTGATAATATAACCGTCTTATGACTTAAAACCAGAATCTTTACCTGTCGTGCCCAGTTTTGTGAGTCATTTCACATTTTCAGTTTTATCACAAAGACATCCTTTGCATACACTTTCAACTTTATCCGTCTTCAAATCACTTTTGACAATGACCGTGTTTTTCCACAGCAAACATGGAGGTCAAGACAGAATGCAGCAAGACTCATAACACTGTGTGCACATGTAAGGCTGGCTACAAGTGCAAAGACCAAGACTGTAAAGAGTGTGTATCCACAATCAAACCCACTGTCCCTCCATCTACTACTGGTAAGTGAGCCCTTCTCAGCACAGTCAACTAAATGTGAAACAATTGTTGACACAGTGGTTATCATTTATTCATTGCAGTGTTTTGTTTTGAATAGTTTCAACTATAACACACTTGAGGGCCACGTGCAGCATCACATTTTCATTAAGGAGCTAAAACGTAAAATGCTCAACTTAATGGAATCTGGCCAAATGAAACTTACATTGAGCTCCCTAAAAAAATCACGATTAATGAATTAAATGAATAAACCTTTGATTTGATATACTTCAGTTTCATTTTGTGTTTATGAGGGCAAAGACTAATTTTTTGAGCGCATATTTTAACCCAAAGAAAAGAAGATATCAACACAAAAGTACCATCAGGATATTGTAAAGCAGCACTAACGTCAAGACTTGCTTAGAGAAACCCAATCATAGATAGTCATCACCCACAACCCTACAGAGGTCAGTCAGCTCTATGTGGCCTTTTAGCATCTTTCAGTCTGCCAGTAATGAGTTTAGATGCCTTTAACGCTGATGTCATCCACCTTAAACCCACTGTGTCTGCGAGGGACAAGTATGCACTCTGAGGTAACATCAGTGTTTAAAAAGTGTTTAAAATTCTCTAAAGAAGAAGCACCAGACATGATAATATAACCGTCTTATGACTTCAAACCAGAATCTTTACCTGTCGTGCCTAACTTTGTGAGTCATTTCGCATTTTCAGTTTTATCACAAAGACATCCTTTGCACACACTTTCAACTTTATCCGTCTTTAAATCACTTTTAAAAATGACCGTGTTTTTCCACAGCAAAAGTGGAGGTCAAGGCAGACTGCAACCCGACTCATAACACCATGTGCACATGTAAGGCTGGCTACAAGTGCAAAGACCAAGACTGTAAAGAGTGTGTAGTGATACCAGCCACAGTCAAACCCACCATCCCTCCATCTACTACTGGTAAGTGAGCCCTTCTCGGCACAATCAACTAAATGTGAAACAATTGTTGACACAGTGGTTATCATTTATTCATTGCAGTGTTTTGTTTTGAATAGTTTCAACCATAACACACTTGAGGGCCACGTGCAGCATCACATTCTCATTAAGGAGCTTTGTCGTTTTGCATTCTTTAATTAACAATTTGCTACAGGTTATCAGTGTAAAAGCACAAAAAATAACATTGTAGATGCGTTGCCCAAAGACATAAGATCGCAGACTAATTTAACACTACCATGAAAAGCAATAACATAACAGATATACTCATCTTTTACACTAAAATGATTTTGGCGTCGAACTTGTCTGAGTGTACAGGCTGAACCACAAAAGGTCAGCAAATGCTCATTTTTCATGAGAAGTTACTCATTTAACTACATCTGGAAATATAACTTTTTTTTAATTTAAAAATACTCCTGAGTACCCATGAGTTCAAATGCCTTATTTTATGAAAACAAGACTGAAAGTAGCTCAGTGTAATAAGTTTGTTAAAAGAAACTGTTTATTTACATGTATGCACAAGAGCATTTACTAGCGTGTTTGTCTGGATCCAGTGGGGTACCTACAAACAAGGAAACATTCACACTCAAAAAATATTCATGCCCAAAGTGTTGATGTTAAGTAATCTGATTACATGAAAACATTCAGTTACGTAAGTACAACGTAAAATGTTCAACTTAATGGAATCTGGCCAAATGAAACTTACATTGAGCTCCCTAAAAAAAAAAAAAAAAAAAAAAAAAAATCACGATTAATGAATTAAATGAATAAACCTTTGATTTGATATACTTCAGTTTCATTTTGTGTTTATGAGGGCAAAGACTAATTTTTTG